GGAGGCTTAATAATTGATAATTGTGTATGTTTTAAAAACTAGAAAAATCCTAACAATAATTACAGGTCACTAGTGGAGCCGAAAAACTGATCAGTGTATATTTGCCTTAAGCTCGTCTATGTTGCCTATTTATTTTCTTGTACTGCCTAAATTTGCATATTATTCCACTATATGATTTAAATTATCACATTGAATCACTTTTTCATTATTGATTGCCTGATTACAATTCTCATCTGATTGACTGAGTTAAAAATAAAGGCTCTGAGTACGTTTCTTGGTTATTAAGATATGAAGTTATATTGTTTGTATAAATATCGTTTAATTAATCTGTGAATATGATATGAGAGGTTGATATACGCATGGTGTTTGTTTTGTTGATAGAGATCTTTATGTGAAAGACTTACTAGGTATCCTAGGAAAAGGCGGACGAGTCTGGTATATATGGAACTCTACCGTGAACGTTGCCTCAGTCGGACAGGGTTGAGAAGTCCTATACCGGAAGATTTTAGAAGATATGGTTCACCTTCATACTGGACAGGGTATCGAAATGATAGAATATTTGGTATCCATCACTGACCGAGGTAGGAAGATGACTGATTAATTGATAAATTTGGATATTTAGCTCATGTATAGGGGGCATCCATATGGACCCCCAGGAATACCAGTAAATAGGTAAGAAAGAAAAATTGTCATTTTTTGTTCACTTGTGCATGAAATTAAAAAGTTGTATGGATATTAATTTTTATAGGTTGATTTTTGAAAAACTCGAGTATGTATAGAATAAATGATTTCTCATGATAATGAATTACTTATATTAAAGCTCCATTAGTTATTTTGTGATTTTTATCAACATTTGTTTTTCGAATCATTGATTAACATGATATTCTTACTATGCTAATGTAGCTCACCCTTCTATTAATCATTTTAGATCAAGAGGAATAGAATTCAGATTCCGATCAGTAAGAAGGTTGTGAGTAGTTTACCTTTCCGGACTCCTTTAAGAGCTAGTGGAGATTAACCCATAAGATATTTATCTATTTGCTTTAAATAATTTATTTGCTTCTTTTTACGACCCATTGTAGTAGAAATACTCCCGTAACCCTATTGGGTATTCTAATTTACTGTGTAGGGAATATAAATTCTAAAATTATTATTGGCTTCCGTATTTAAACTAGAAATTCATTTCCTTTAAGGTTTTAGGCCTTTATATTATCAGATAATTTGTAACTACAGGGATTGAACTTCTTCAACATTGGATTGCATCTAGTATAATTGGTTGTGTTTCATAGGGCCTTATAGAAGTAATTACTAATAAAAGAAAAAAATAATAAAAAAGAACTTTTAATTTCTTACCCCATTTAAGTAAGAAAAATGAAGAGGAAGAGAAAGGAGACAAACTTCAAATATTTATATTACAACAAAAATTGAGAGAAAGGTAAATGATCAATACTTCTTTCCATTACATTTTATCGTAATTATTAGCCATTATGTTCAGGAAATATTATTATAACATATATCAAATAGTAGATATTATACTAAAATATACTTTGTAAATATTTCACTACATCAATATCTAATTGAAATGTCTTAACAAGAATATAAGGCTTTTATAAGTGGATTTGACCCAAATATAGTGTTAGGTATTACCGTAAGTTGTGAATTTTGACTGTTGTAAGTAACAAAAATAATAGTAGTAGTATTTTCAATATTATAGGCGAAAGTGAATTTGTTCGATCGGGACCAGAAAAACATCTCCACGACCAAGAATTTTGTAGAAGAAAGTATTGCTAATTTGATTCGATGAAACAAAACCAATAAACAAAGTTCCTTCCAGAACTGTAATAATTTGATAGCCTTGAGGGTAAATATTAAGCGACGCTATGCCACGAGGTACAAATTTAGCATACCCTAGTGTTATAGAAAGAGTGTTAAGTCCTAAAACTTTATCAACAAAAACAAATGTGGCACTAACTCCAAGTTGACTATCAGTTACTGAAGGAACGAAAAGCTCTGAATAAAAAAGTCATATGACGTGATATCTTTTATATTCTTACAGAAATTTTCATTCACAAACACTGCATAAAAATAATTATACATGTATATGTGTTATCATTTCCAAATGAAAATTGTCGAAATAATATTATGTATTGTTCTTTTGTTATTATCATTTTTGTCATATTCTTTTGCTATTATCATTTTTGTCATTTTTCAAAAGGAAAAGAGAAGGAAATATCTTTTTTTTACAAAAAGAATGGAATGAGAACATGGAGGTTTTAAACTCATTAAACATAAAAATTCCAGAAACTCATCAACCCATAAACCCAAGCCCATTTAAACCCCAAAAACAAAAGGAAAAAGAAAATCGATATTCACTAGAAGAACATAACATAATCTTGAAGGTTTAGAGCTTGAAGTCTGAAAAGCATCTGAAAAGGTAAAGATTGGATTAATCCTTTGCGTTTTTCAGAAGAGGGTTTCAAAAGAAGCCTTGATTTTGCATATAAAATCTGAAGAGAAGAGAAGATGAACATGGTGAGCCTTCACTAGAAAGGAAAGAAATTTGAGGGAGGTTTCGAATTTCCAAAACTTTCAATGTCCCTCTGAAATGAGCTCACATAAGCTCTAGCTTGTTTTGTCAATCTGAGAAGAATGTTATTCTTTCAAGTTGTGGTTGACTAATTGCTAAAATATCAAGCTAGAACTTAGTGATGCTCAGTTTTCATTTTTCAACATGTTCTTTTGATTTATCAATGTAATTCTCACGTTATAAGTATAGAATTTTAAGATAAAATTATCTCAAAAATTCTAACGTAATATATAATATTATAATTATTGCAAACAAGCAACACACCACACATTTTGAACTTTTTTTTTTTTAGATGTACATAAAAAATTATATATCACCAAAAAACTCTCGATGAAAGCTCTCTCTATCTATAAAATATTGTGGCCACCTAAGATGCATGATGAGAGAATTGGATTTTAAGTAAGCAAATAGAAGATTTCTTATGTGATTTTTAGCTTACTTTCTTACATCAAGAAATATGTTATTTACGATCTTTTGGGATGATTTTTCAATGAATTTGATAGCTATTGAAATAATTATTCTAATAATATCAATAATATACCAAGTTCCAATTCATTAGGGATTGAAAGATATTGGTAATGATAATTCATTCTAACATGAAAAAAAATTTAGATAGAGTAATATATTTCACTCTTGAGCTAAGCAAAAGTGTGGTTTACCTACGATCTTTCTGAATAAATTTGAAGTATAAATTTTTGTCTCCCATTAAATAGATGTTTTGTGAACAAATCGATTGTTCTAGCAATGTTTCATATTCTCTGGAGAATAATTTTCTCCAAAATTTGTGAATTTTGTGAAGTAATTATAGGAAAGAATTTGTTTGATTTTTAAGATTTTAGAAATTCAAAAATTTATAATAAGTATTTACTTTGATGATTTAGTATCTAATTAAAGAGATTTTTATATTATATTAAAATCATAATCACGAAATTAATACGAGATTAGTGTATTTTGTACTTCATTTCATTTATATTAAAAATAAAAGTTTAAAAAATTATTAAAAACATATAAAAATGACCAAATATCAGAAAAATTAAGGAAAAAAACATACAGGGTTTATATTCAGTAAAATTAAAATGAGAATGAACATTGATGTATCCCTTTATTCATTACATTTTAATAGCATAATACAGCAAGAAAATTAACATCACAAAGCATTAAAGAAAAGTTCAATGGAACCTCCATTTTCATATCCAACTGCAAAACTAAAATAACATTTGTAACTTCTCCACCACATTAACGTCCAATTGGAATGCCCTCGCAAGAATTTCAAGATTAATAGGTGGATTCGATCCAAAAACTGCATTAGCTATTGTGACGATACCTGGATTTTGGCTGCCCAAAGCAGCAAAAGCAACAACATTTGTTTTTCCAATATTAAACTGAAAGTGAATCTGTCCAATTGAGAAGACAAAAACATCCCCGGGGTATAGTGATCTAATTTGATTATCTGTATTTCCAGGGATGTTAAACCCTGAAAAGAAGAAGTCTTTTGCTCTTATATCCATTGGGTTCTTATAGAAATTACCATTCACAAACACTGCATATAGAGAAATATATGTTTTTCAGCTACCTGTTGCATAACTTCTAATAAATATATTTGTTATAGTGCCAAGCTTGTGAATATCTTATCAATAGCTAGGCTAAAGAAAAGATTAAATCAAGAGAAAATAAAACTTTACTACCATGCTCGAGATCATCAATATCTACACAGAAGTCTTGAAGAGGACTAGGATAATAGGCAGAGGCAAAGGAGAATGCAAATGCCACGATTTGTTTTTCCAATATTAAACTGAAAGTGAATCTGTCCAATTGAGAAGACAAAAACATCCCCGGGGTATAGTGATTGATTTTATGAATTTGTTTATGAAATATATGTTATTTGCCGTTGTTGTAAAAAATCTTCAAATACATGAATATATATAAACACTAACACAATCTCAAAATTTTAAGTATATGAATTATAATTAAGTATAATTCATGAAACATAATTAAATTTAAGATATAAACTATTTATGAAAACTTAAAACACATATATTTAAATTTAATAAATAAAATATTTAAGAAATTAAAAATACATATATTTAAATCTAATATATAAATTACTTTAAAAAACTAAAAAAAAAATAGATACAAGCAAGATTTTGGTCTAACAATTAGTTTCCTATTGTGTATTAATCTGGCAGCTTCGTTGGATAACGTTTGTACTAGGCTTTCAATACACTAAAATATGAATTTTGTTTATGAAATATATGTTAAAATGAGCATGAAAAGAGAATATACCAACATTGAGGTATCCCATTCACCCCTTTATTCATTATATTTAATAGCGTAATACAGGCAGGAAATAAACTTCACAGAGCATTAAAAAAAAAGTTTAATGGAACCTCCATTTTCATATCCAACCGCAAAGCTAGAATAATATTTGTAACATCTTTACCACATTAATGTCCAACTGGAATGCCCTAGCAAGAATTTCAGGATCAATGGGTGGATTTGATCCAAAAACTGTGTTGGCTATTGTGATAACACCTGGATTCTGGCTGCCCAAACCAGCAAAAGCAACAGCATCTATTTCTCCAATATTAAACTGGAAGTGAATTTGTCCAATTGGAAAGACAAAAACGTCCCCAGGATATAAGGTTTTGAAAAAGAATGTGTTGTTATTTTGGTTGGACGCAACAAAACCAACAAGGAGAGTTCCCTCGACAACTACCAAGATCTCAGAGGCCCGAGGGTGAGTATGAGGTGGATTTTGTCCACCAGGTGCGTAGTCAATGCGAACTAGAGAAATACCGAGAGTGTTAAGTCCTGGTAATTGATCAACAAAAACAGCAGTCACATTTGATCCAACTTGATTGTCTGTGTTTCCAGGGATGTTAAGCCCTGAAAAAGAGAAGTCTTCTGCTCTTACATCCATTGGGTTCTTGCAGAATTTACCATTCACAAACACTGCATATGTAAAAATGTATACGTATTAGCAACCAGCTGCATAACTTATAAAAAATATGTACATTATAGTGTCAAGCATTCGAATATCTTACTAACAAATAGGCTAAAGAAAAGACTAAATCAAGAGAAAATGATTAATTACCAGCATCCTTGGGCTCATCAATGGCTACACAGAAGTCTTGAAGAGGACTAGGATCATAGCCAGAGGCGAAGGAGAATGCCAATGCCAAGATGGCAACAACGACATGAAGCTGAAACCCTTTCATTTTTACAAGGCTGTGTTGCTATATGTATTGAAAGTTAATCTGGATGGGGTGTGAGGATTTTGCATGCAGAAGCTGCAATATATATAGGCAGATCACATGCATATGTATCTTTTCAAAGAAGCAAGTCAATTACCGAAAATTCAGCGGTTGTTACTTATTCCATTCTTGTGTTTTTCTCATTTAATTCCTTTTAGCAATCTGTAGGAGACTCGTCGATTTAATTACTTTGCAGTAAAACCCAAGATATTAACGTTAAATGATGGTGGAGAAGTTCACCCTTGCTTGATTGTACTAATGAACAGAATTGCATAAAATTTTAAATGTTTGTTCCAATTTAAAATATTTTGCTTATTAAAACTTTTAATTAACCATTACTCTTCTTTAACCCATAATCCTTGTATTATTATATAACTACACATCTATAGTTCAGATAAATTAAACCAAGGAGTCTTAATTTATTAGGTACTAATTTTTTTTTTTTATCAGAGAGAAGAAACAGTCTATTTTCGGTTTAATCATACTTGGTAAGAAATATCTTAATTAAATAATATATCTAATTTATTTTACTTAAAATAAAAAATAAAAAATAATTAAAAAAAAATTTAAATGGGTATCTAGGGCAAGTGTAATTTATGCTATGAATCTTAAAAGGGTTAGTAAAATAGTTATTCACTAAAAATAATTTTAGTTAATAATTATTTTATATAAAAAGTTTAGTTATTTAAAAAAATAAATAAAAATTATATGTTTAGTTAAATTAATTTTTAAAATTTTAAGTGTAAATTTTTTATAAAAGTTTAAATCGTTGTCTAAAAATTGCATATAATAGCTTTTTGTTTTACATATATCAAAAAGTTCATTTTAGCTTTGATTGTTACTAAAATTTGATTATAAAAAAAACAAAAGCTGAAGTTAAAAGCTGAACCAAACATCCCTTGAATAGCTCAGAACAAATGAACAAATAGGAAAAAGAAAGTGTGAGTAGCACCAAGCACGTTAATTTGGCTGGTAAGTTTTGGTTCTATGCATGCATCTTCTGCCATAAGCATTGCATGGCTCCACATTTACTTTCTATATATATATTCAATTCCCTCGATGTACTCTCCTGCATCAGCTGAAATAGAAACAATTATATACATACATATATATGGATCTTAAAAATTTTAGGAATATAATTGTAGTGTTACTTGAGACATGTTTATTATGTATTTTTTGTACGAAAATAGACTTCTGAGTTACTCTTAAAATCCGGCTGTATAAGGAGGTCGCGCAATTTCGTGTGTGTGTGTGTGTGTGTGTGTGTGTATTGTATATGTACTGTCAATTATAAGTCATGTATTTATATATACCTATTTTACAAAATAAACATATGGTAAAAAACTTCATAAATGAATACACCAAATAAATATCTCATCTGGCTGGAAAGAAAAAAAAGAAATGAAAAAAGAAAACAAACTTATATTGAAGTAAAATGTGACCATTCATATATACATATGGATAAGACTATTGGAGTAAAATTTGAGCTTTAATTTTAAATCTAATATTTATATTATATAGTTTAGATATTAATCTATTAATTTGGCCGGCAGAATAATCTACTACCGTTTATATTAAATTATTTATTATCAACTCTTTTTTTTTTTTAATAAATAACGAGGTTGAACCGGATTTTTAATCAATTTTAACTATTGAATTCTAACTGTTAATAAATATTTTATTAACTTAAAAAAGTAATTAACTCTCTAAAATTTAATCCAATTTTATCGTTGCAGCTTTATTATATTTGTTATAACTATTCCAATTAAAAGAAATTAGTCTTTACAAAATATCTGAATTGATACTTTTGGTATTTCTCTGGTGTCTATTGATTATGTAACAGGCAATTAAACCCATCCCACTTCCACCACCAATGCATTGAGATTGTCGTGGTTGTCGAGAGAATTCTCCACACTAGATTTGTGTCATTGAGTCAGGATGTAATCACTTGTTTACAAAAATTTAATACCTCGGAGATGTGTTGTTGTTCCTAATAAAAATGATTCACTTTCAAGTTAATATTAGAAAGACAAATGCAATTGCATTTACTGGTTTGAGTGTTAAATTGTCGGGTTGATCACAATAGTAAAGTTAGTTTTTAGGTCGAATTTGTTTGGAAATTATATAATACTTTATAAGAAATGGAAAAAAGTTAAAGTTGGAAATATTTAATTTTTTATTTATATTTATTGTAAAAAAAATTTCAAGTACATGAATATTTATACGTAATAGTACGATTTGTAAAATTTTAAATATATAATATCATAATTAATGAAGCATAACTAAGTTCAAAATATGAACCATATAGAAAAATTCAAAAACACATATTTAAATCGAATATATAAATTATTTAGGAAAATTTAATATTAAATCGAATATATAAATTATTTAGGAAAATTTAATAGTGAGGTATCTACGAGCACGATTTTGGATAATGTGTATTAAACTGGCAACTTAATTGGATAATGTTTGTTGTACTAAGTTCTTCCATCCTCCAGTGCAATGCACTAAAATATAAAGTATATCTTGCAGCGTTAAGCTTAATATGCATATAGCAATTTCCTTGTTTACACTCTCTAATGAATATGCGCATATAAAGGTAAATGGGTAAAAAGATGACAAAATGGGTCTTTTTTTTTTGAATCATTTTGAAATTGTAGTTTCTTGAAAGATATACTAATGCAGATAAATATAGATAAAATGCACGAAAAGTTTTTTAAGTGCATGTTAATAGTGCATATGTATGGAAATATAAAAATAATAATGCTGAGACATCATATATATATATATATATATATGTGTGTGTATATATTCAATCACAGAAGGAAAATATTTTTAAAGTGCTGCCATGCATATATATGTATGTTAAATTTTAATGTTATTTTTATATATTTCTTCAAGTATTATATGAATGTTTTTCAAAAGACATTGTGAATTTTATGAAGTAATTCTCTAGTGTGATTGGGTTTTATGATCATTTTATGAACTAAAAATCTTTAATTTTAAGAATTTTGTTGGTGAAATATATGTTGTAATGAGCATAAAAAGAGAATATACCAACATTGAGGTATACCATCGACTCCTTTATTCATTACATTTTAATAGTATAATGCTGGGGGGAAATTAACATCATAAAGCATTAAAAAAAAAAAAAAAAAAAAAAATTCAATGGAACCTCCATGTTCATATCCAGCCGTAAAGCTAGAATAACATCTGTAACTTCTTTACCACATAAATGTCCAATTGAAATGCCCTTGCAAGAATTTCTGGATCAATGGGTGGATTTGATCCAAAAACTGTGTTGGCTATTGTGATAACACCTGGATTTTGACTGCCCAAACCAGCAAAAGCAACAGCATTTATTTCTCCAATATTAAACTGGAAGTGAATTTGTCCAATTGGAAAGACAAAAACGTCCCCAGGATATAGGGTTTTGAAAAAGAAGGTGTTGTTATTTTGGTTGGACGCAACAAAGCCAACTAGAAGAGTTCCCTCGAGGACTACCAAGATCTCAGAGGCCCGAGGGTGAGTATGAGGCGGGTTCTGTCCACCAGGTGCGTAATCAATACGAGTTAGAGAAATACCGAGAGTGTTAAGTCCTGGTAATTGATCAACAAAAACAGCAGTCACATTTGATCCAACTTGATTGTCTGTGTTTCCAGGGATGTTAAGCCCTGAAAAGAAGAAGTCTTCTGCTCTTACATCCATTGGGTTCTTGCAGAATTTACCATTCACAAACACTGCATATATAAAAATGTATATGTATTAGCAACCAGCTGCATAACTTATAAAAAATATGTACATTACAGTGTCAAGCATTCGAATATCTTATTAACAAATAGGCTAAAGAAAAGACTAAATCAAGAGAAAATGATTAATTACCAGCATCCTTGGGCTCATCAATAGCTACACAGAAGTCTTGAAGAGGACTAGGATCATAGCCAGAGGCGAAGGAGAATGCGAATGCCAAGATGGCAACAACGACATGAAGCTGAAACCCTTTCATTTTTACAAGGCTGTGTTGCTATATGTATTGAAAGTTAATCTGCATGGGGTGTGAGGATTTTGCATGCAGAAACTGCAATATATATAGGCAGATCACATGCATATGTATCTTTTCAAAGAAGCAAGTCAATTACCCAAAATTCAGGGGTTGTTACTTATTCCATTCTTGCATTTAATTCCTTTTAGCAATCTGTAGAAGACTCGTAAAATTTAATTACCTTGCAGTAAAACTCAAGCCATTAACGTTAAATGTTGGTGGAGAAATTCACCCTTGCTTGATTGTGTTAATGAACAGAACAGCATAAAATTTTAAATGTTTGTTCCAATTTGAAGTATTTTGCTTATTAAAATATTTAATTAATTATTACCGCATTAACCCATAATACTTAATACTATTATATAATTACACATGTATGGTTCAAATAAATTAAACTAACAAATCTTAATTTATTAATTACTATTTTTTTTGTAATAGAGAAAAGAGTTTAATATTGGGTTCAATCATAATTGATAAGAAAGTGATTTGACCACTTAATTAAATAATATTACTTAATTTATTTGAAGTAAAATAAAGAGTAAAAAAGATAAAATAAATTAAACAGCCATGTATATATTATGAACCTTAAAAATACTGATAAAATAATTATTCAATAAAAATATTTTTAATAAAAAATTATTTAATATTTGATAAAAATAATTATAAAATTTTTTATCAATTTAAGATGCAAAAATCATATATTTTGTAAAATTGATTTTTTATTAATTTGAAGTTTAAATTTTTATTAAAAATTAAAAGTTATTTTTTAAAAAATGTTTGCACATAGTATTTTTAGATTTTAACTCTATCAAAAGCATATTTTATTTTTAATTATTACCAAAAACACTTTATTTTTAACCGTTTGATTATAAAAGTAGATATTGAGACATAAAAGCTGAAATCTAAAGCTGACCAAACAAAT